TTACAGAATGATGTGGCCTACAAACTCAGGCGTCTGTTTTTGAACATCGCGTCCATGGAAATCTGATCTTTGGGATTGTCATTTTGTAGTGATCGCACCCCTTTTTATTTTTTTACATCCAGGATATCGAGAACCTGGCCAATGGGTCAGGCATTCTGTGATTTAATGCCAAGGGTCGGTCATTTAGTAATAAAAAACTTGCGGGGCATGCATTCTGTAGTTGCGGGGCATGCATTCTGTAGTCCCCTATGTTGGGGAAATTGTTTTGTAGCACAGAATGACCTATCCCAGGTCGAACATGCAAATCTGAACGCGGATGATAGAGCACCATTGAATTTTGCATTTTTTGTCGCCATAAGATTCTTTTTTTGGAGTTGATCTCCGTGAAATAATGTTTTGTGGATGCCCGTCCGAGGCAAAAGGAACTACAGAGATGTGGTTTGGGGACAGGGACCTGCGGAGAGGGAACTGGGAGCCAGGGAGTTGGAGACAGGAACTGGGGGCAAGAAACTGTGAGCCTCTTATGGTTTCAGGATAGTTCAAGTCCTATGATGTTCCGATTCAATGCTCACCGATGATCTGAGCCATGGGGCAGGTTTGTTTTCCTATGTTTTCCTAAGAATCTTTTTGAACACTTCGAGAGCATATGTTTGAACATTTCGAGTGCATATGAACATATATTTACGAAAGGTCGCCTCCGAGGGGATAAATCACCATGTCGAACATTGCATTTTTGTTCCTGCCTCTCGCGTTCTCTTCTCTTCCCGCTGTCCTACCATTCGTGTCTCCCTCCTCTCAAGTTATTTTTTTTGTGGCCGCTCGGCAGAGAAGCGCGGAAAGATTGTGTCGGAAAGGGCTTTTGTGGCTTTTGGAGATTTCAACCTGGCAGGCACGGCGGTGGTCTGGAAAGTCCCGGATTATTTGTGACTCCCTGCTACCTGTCGGCAGGGAACTGGGGGGGAGGGAGTTGGAGACAGGAACTTGGGGCAGGGAACTGCGGACAGGGAACTGGGGACAGGGGACTTGGGACAGGGAACCGGGGGCAGGGAACTGGGACAGGGAACTGGGGACAGGGAACTGGGGGCAGCAAACTGGGGACAGGGAACTGGGACAGGGAACTGGGGACAGGGAACTTGGGACAGGGGACTTGGGACAGGGAACTGGGGGCAGCAAACTGGGGACAGGGAACTGGGGACAGCGAACTGGGGGCAGCAAACTGGGGACAGGGAACTGGGACAGGGAAGTGGGGACAGGGAAGTGGGGACAGGGAACTGGGGGCAGCAAACTGGGAACAGGGAACTGGGGACAGGGAACTTGGGACAGGGAACTGGGACAGGCAACTTGGGACAGGGAACTGGGGACAGGGAACTGGGACAGGGAACTGGGCCCAGGGGACCTTCGTAGGGGCTTAAGGGGGGCTTAAGCCCCCCTTCGCCGAAGGTCCCGGGCCCAGCCTCTAGATTGCACTGTCTTTAGTAGGCTTGCCAAGATGCCAGGAAGGCATAATGGCGAGGAGTCTATGCTGAAGAGAATGCTTTCGCCATTTGTCCTGCTATGCGATGGCCACTCTGGCTGCATATGATCCCGGACATGGGGTATACCCCTGGTCTTGGATGAAAATAAGCCTTTCTGGCCGCAGCAAGCGCGGTCTCGCAGTTACTCGTTAAGAGTCTGGGCACGCGCCTTAGCGTGAGTCCAGGGTAGGCCAGAAGTCACACCAGGACAAATTCCATAGGGGAGCTGAGAAACATCGCAATTGTACCCGTCCATAGGAGGTTCCACCCATGCGTATCATGGCGATATGCCCGCACTTTGGAGCTAGGGGCAAGCAAAGGGAAAAACTGCACATCGCAAAGGACATGTGTCCCTAATAAACTGGATTACCTGTCTAGTCCAGGCAGCGCTGAGAGCTGTCGACAGATGCCAGTGATCACAGGGAAGAAAACTGTTCAGACCTGCCAGAGCCAGCAATTTCTTTGTGGCTGGAATGGGGGACAAGCTAACCGACAGCGAAGTACGGCAAGTAAGATGCGCAAGCACTAAGTAGGATCACCGACCTCTTCTCGCCATTCGCAACGCTGTGAGCCAATAGGAATGAGAGCCTTGGCCCCTCGTTCCTAACAGGCGGGCTGTGCCTGTGCATGATCACAAACTGGCTAACTCATGTGCAGGCAAGTTTGTTGAGGGACAAGTTTTGCTGAGCGCATTGCTGAATTCGTTGCCCCTGTCTCACCTCTTTTTACAATGCCTGCCTGGCCTCACGAGTTGCTTAACAGGTTGCTTCGTCTGGCTTTGTTTGGGTGGTTTTTAGTTTTGTTGTGTGGTTTGTTTGTTTGGAAGCTTCTTCCATTCTTCCCTCGCGCTCCTCTCTGCTTCCTTCTTCTCCGCCCGCGATGCAGTTCATGAGGGAATCAGAGTCTTTGCTCCACATGGCTGCGAGGCTGCAATGCCCGCTGTCGGTTCCGTGACAGGCATCCCAGGCTGCGCAAAGCCAAAGACACGAGCAGACTAAAATTTTGTTTTGCAGGTGTGAAGAGATCTTGACACAGTATTGGTCACCTTGAAATGCTCACATGGTCGTTGGCGCGTACGCATTCTTTGATGCAAGTTGTGCCTGCCTGGCTTCGCATGGACCTCAAAAGAACCTGATTTGAACCTCACTCTTGCTTTCAGTCTTGCTCATGCATGCGTACTGCAAGGGCCCATGAACCGGTCTCGGAATTTCTGTTGTGTTTTTGAGGCTAAGTTTTGGCTTCGAGGAAAGAAGCAAGTTTATGGGTAGTTTCGATGTCTTGCATATGTACCCCATAGCGCAGTTTGATGTGTGAGGTGGAACCATTGAGGTAGTAGGTGTTGGGTGAGTTAGGTGTGGAAGTTGTGGGGGGGGTTGTGAGGGATGCGTCAAAAGCGCCATCTTTGCCAAGTCACCCACTTCCTTGTCATCTTTTCAATAGCTGCCCCCCCTACCCCCTAGACTCCTAACACATGAACATGTTGCGAGGTTTTTAGAAGAGACGTGGAGGAGTGAGTTCGTGAGTTCCCTGTATTACATAGTAGTATATATTTAAAACAGGGTGGAGGAGTAATTATATTGGAGGAAACAAGCGGAGGAGCATAACACTCCTCCACATTTTGTTGTTGTGTAAGAGAGATCATTCCGTTTCACAAGCTGTTTTTTGTGTTTTCTTGAGTAGAATTTCAGCGGAGGAGCGGAGGAGTGGTTACGAAGATGTCAATTTTGGGTGTGGGCATGGGAATTTCATGATTGGTAGAAGTTTTGTTGACTCCGTTTCTGGCCTCAAAACAACTTGCAATTCTTTAGACCAACCAGAGTACCCCCTCAGTCACAGAGTGTATGTTTACGTTGCATTTTGGCGCCAACGTAAAATTGAAAAGTGCAATAGAGGCAAAAAGCGGGGTGTGGAAAAGACAAGGTTTGTCGCAAGCAAGGAGGTATGTGAAATTTGATGGATGAGGAAATGGAGACGCTTTATGGCGCACTTGCGCATCCAGAAAATGAAAATGGTGGCTTCGGTTTTTCAGCTCCGCGAATGAGAAATCAGCAGATCTTTGAAGCCAATTCTGGCTTCAAATTTTGCCTTCTACGCTTCCATTTTTCAATGTTTGAAGCCAAAACTGGCCTCAAATTTGAGGCCGTTTTTGGCTTCAAAAATCGGGTCGGTCTCTACGGTTTTCAAGTGTGCCCTGGGACTTATTTTTTGCGTCTGTGCCCATGGAGCCCACAGGAAATTAGCAAAGCTTGATGCCCAAGGTTTGGTGTTGAATGATGGTTTGCTGGCTTCAGACTGAAAAACCCCACAGAGGACACAAGAGGAGGCAAGGCTTGAACCAGCTGGACACACGTGGCCAGCTTGTTTTTCTGAGAAAGAACCGGAGCAGCGAACGGTTTGGGGAAAAAAGGGCTGATGGTTTCACAATCTTGACCTGCAGAAAAAATGCAGCCCAGTGTTGTGACGAGCCCCCAGCGTGCAAACTCGGTTTGGAGGATGGGTTTTGTGCACAGACACCAAAACGGCGTCTCACCTTGTTTCACCCATTTTAGCGTTGTTCATTGGGGCTTTGCTGGCCGATATCAACCGGCTACGGAAGAGAATCGTTGCAATGCATTTGACTGCTGCATTCCTGATGTGAATTGCTACGCTCCTCCTCTGCAGATTGTGGAGTGTCTCTTGCATTCCTCCCGTTGCTAAGCCGTTTTGGAGTTTGTGCGGGAGCGACACTCTCGATGTTGCCTTCCCCCCCTGGGGAGGAGGATCGGGAAACGCTGCGTCGCAGCGGCTCACTCCGCCTGGGATTGCATGATGGCAACCACACTGCTCCCTTGGTTCCCTATTTTGGAGATCCCGACTGCAAGTGCAGTGGTCTTCCATTGATTTGTCTCATCATGTCAAATTTTGGGCCAGGCCGTCAAGCGCAGCTAGTCAACGTAGCCTGCTTCCACCTTGTCTTTCGTAGACGCATTTCGGCCTTGACTCACACAATACACTTATCTCTCATGTGCCTTGCGAATACATATCTTGCCTCTACCTCAAACCCATGCAAGGGGGTCTAGATTGGCCTTCCTGTGCCATCTCCAAACTGTTTGACTTTGACGAGAACCATTCAAGCATCAAGCAGTTTGTTGAGGGACAAGAAGTACTGAGAGTTTTGAGGAATTCAACGCCCCTGTCTCACCTTCTCTCTGGCGGCTTACATGGCCACATGAGTTGCGCAACAGGTTGCTTCCCTATCTTTGGTGGTTTTGGTTTTGGTTTGGTGGGTGTTCGGGTGTTTGTTTCGTCTTTTGGTTTGCAACCTGTATCGTAACTCCTTCTTAACTCGACCCAGGTGATGTGCAGAACCTGCACACATAGCGCCTCGACTCGTGCAAAAAGAACTCAAGGTAGCACAAAAAGCAGCTTCCTCAGTCACGGACACTTTGCTTGACATTGATGCTTTGGCTCGTGAACTCGAGCAAAAGGCCAAGAATGAAGGTTTGAATGAGGGTGAGGTGACTGTGGAATCTGGGCACGATCTTGCAGGGCAGTCACTGAGTGACTTGAAGGCATTTTCCAAGATCACATGTTGGAGGCTCGAGCAGCTGCACTCAGGCGCTCGGCTGTTTGCTTATGGGTACTGCGAAAAGTACACGGATTTGAGCGCCGGAGAAAATGCTCCTGCCTTCGTTGACCACCTTCGATCCCGTGCTGATGACGAACTTTTGGATGTCGTCAAGTTTTCGCTATCCAAGTTCGCGGAGGTCTGCGAGACCACGACCAAGTCGAAGGAGTTCCTTGGAAGTGTATCCGAGCATAGTGCCGCGGTGAACCAACAGAGTTTGGAGGCTGTGAACTCCATCAAGGAGATGTCTTCGGGTTTGACGGGGTTGGGAGCTTCCATTCGAACCGAACAGGAGGCCGCCCACCACCATCGCGGGGCCAGTGTGAAGTTTTTAAGGGAAGCCTCGTGGCACATCAGTGGCCAAGGCCACAATCAAACCAAGACGAGTATCAAAGAGCTTTTGATTTTGTCGACCAAGCTCCAAGAACGAGCTGAGAAGCACCTTGGCGAGCACACAGCCCTCCTCAAGGAAATTGTGGAGAGCTCAAAGTGCCAAGAGACTTGGCTCGAGAAAGTGTCGAAAGCACGTCCCGAGATCAAGGCGTCGCCATTGAGCAATCCAGTGTTGGCCAAGCCAGTGGCTGCAGCAAGCTCCGTGCCCCGGCACCACACACTGGGAATTGAAACCATCCAGCTTGGACGCCTCCGATGGCACCACCTCCGGGATCGGCGCCCGGTTATCCAGCGATGAACTATGGGACACCGATGACGCCTACTATGGGAATGCCCACCATGCCGAGTTCCAGTGCGCCATCCTATGGCTCACCAGCTGGACCAGCTGCAATGGACGCGACCGAGAGCATGTGGAAGCGTCAGAAGATGACAGACGGTCGACTTCAGTGGACAGAAGTGACACCAGATGTATAGGTGTTCACCATTTGGCGGCCTGAGCCTATGGATCGAGTTGGGGAGGTGGCCTCGTATGGCGGCCTGTGATTTGGTTTTTGGTCCTGCGCCGAGCTTTCAAAAAGAGGGAGTTTGTGCGAGAGTCATTTGAGTCTCTTGAAGTTTGCTAGGGTGTATCCTTTTGGGGCTTCAGCAGTGATTTTCGGTTTTTGTGGAATTGGACTTGGATAGATTGAGATTTGTGACAGTTTTCATCTTGTGCGAGTCAAGAGATGTGTACTCTTAGAGGGATCAAGTCTTTGAGATTCTGTTCATTTCCTTTTTGTCTTGCAAGGAGACCAGTGGATAAGGCGAGAGACTGGGAATCTGCGAGAGCAAGGGTTGTAACCAAAGATTTGTGTGAAGAGTACCTGTACTTGCGAGTTGATGCTGTCTGCAAGGGTTTATCTAAGATCTGGATTGCAGTCGCCTGTAACTAACAGGGTTTATCTAAGAGGAGTGGAGTGTGAACAGTAAAAGGGTTTGTAACTAGAGGGTTGGCTAGATTTCTTTTCTCGTTTGCCGTTTCGACCTGTCAGGTACCATCTTGAAAGCGTTGAGCCTTCAAGATCCCAAGGATGAGGAAAGCAAGTGATAGGAATCATCACTGTGAGATTCCAGAAGACTTGCTCTCTGAGGGATCTTTGGCTGTTGAGCTTGTTGTCTTGCGTGTTTGACCTTGGTTGATTGAGTTTTGGACTTGCTTGTTGCTTGTCGTCTGGGATTTGTTGACGTTTGACCTGGAGATCATTTTGGAGGACAGGAGTTGAGATCTTAGTTGACGCTTGAACCTTAGTTGCTCAGAGAAAACGAAGAGAAGAGAAGAAGAAGACAGGGAGAACCAGAAGAAGGTACAAGGTGACCCAAGAAGGGGTGTGAAAAGTGTGGGTAGCAGGACGCCTGTACGGTGTGTGGATCACCTAGTACCTGTCTGTATTGAAACTTTTCGTTTTTCTGTCCTTGGGGTTGGAGCTGAGTAGGGTTCTTCCTTTTTGGAGTGTGTTCTCTTTGACCTCCTTAGCAGGACAAGGTGGATTGTGACCAAGAGTGGCTAGGAACACCTTTAGAGAAGCCCTGGCTAGAGCTGTGTAGAGCTGTGTATAGTATGGAATAGCTTGAGAGTGATTGGAGATGCTTTCTTGTTCTTTTAACATGTTTTGGACGACTGCGACCAGTCAGACCTCTAGAAGAAGAGATGAAGGACTTTGATACAATCAAACCGACTGTGATGTTTGGCTCAGGGAGCGGGACCTAAAAAGGGGACGCTTGCGCTTCCGTATTTTCACAACAAAGTCTGTGCGGCGATGTGGAACATCTGCACGTCCGTATGCAAGCCTTTCCCACTTTTCACTCCATTCATTGCTTTTGGGCGATCTTGCTTTCAACCATTGTTTCACTTGGGTGTCTTTTCACTTGAACTTGCTCTCCAGCCATTGTTTCACTTGGGCAGCTTCTCCAACCATTTTCACTTGGTGATCCTTGCTCTCCAACCATTCTAGTGTCAGGTCCAGCAGATGCAGTTGAGTCTCGCTGGGTGAGACGCAGGCCGTGCTTTTCCGTGGAAACTCGTTCTTGTGACAGGGTGATAGAGGCCGCACAGAAGCCATCTCTTTGCTATTTGGCCGTGGACTTGGTTGGTGCGGAGGCCAGCCTTTTTTTGCATGTTTCGAGCTTCCATTGTGATAAAAGTTTCAGTTGTTTCTTGACGTGCAGATTTCGTGGCAGGCACAGCACTTTGTGAACCTCCATGTGCAGATTTCGTGGCAGACAGCACTTTGTGAAACCTCCATGTGCAGATTTCGTGGCAGGCGCAGCACTTTCTGAACCTCCATGTAAACCTTTCGTGGCAGGCACAGCACTGTGTGAACCTCCATGTGCAGGCGCAGCACTGTGTAAGGCTCGAGGTGCAGATTTCGTGGCAATCTGACGCACGCTGAACTGTCAAGAGTGCTTTAGATGATGATGCATTTTCTCGGAATTACTGAAAGCTGGCCTCGCAGCAACTCATCCATGCAGGTTTTTGTCTCACACTGAATCCCACGATGAAAATCCACAAAATTACTGGTTTGGTCCTGTGGTGGGTCCCCCCTCTTTGTTTACTGTTTTTTGTTGGTGTGTTGTTGTCTACAGCAGTTGACCTTCGCGCTCTTGCGATGTCGGCAGTCATCTTCATCTTCATCTTCACGCGGAGATCGTGCGTGTTGAGGGCACGACATGCAAGATCGCGTTCTTGATTTGTCGGCAACCGTGCGCACAGGTCCATGTGGGAGAAGAGAATGAGTGAGAGAAGAGAGAGAATGAGAGACGGCAAGGGAGAGATGTCATGTTTGGACATGTGCAGGTGTGCAAATGCGCAGATGTGAAGTTCTGCATGTCTGGATATGTGAAGATGTGAAGATTTGTGTGTTTGGATGTGTGCAGATGTGCAAGTGCGAAATGTGAAAAGATGTTGATTTGTGTGCACATGTAAGTTGTGATGATCGGTGAGGACAATGTTGTCGGTCCTGTTCTTCGGGAAGAACTCTTCGCTCAGGTGCTCTCGGGAAAAATTGTTTCTTGAAAGTAAGGGCAACATCCTCCATGAGCCTTTTCATCGAGAACAGCAGTGGAGCAGCAAAATCCGCTGATGTGGGGATAAGATGGAAACACCAAGCGGAAGCAAGAACCAGACGGTCTATAGCAATTTTAGTGTGCGAAGTGAGCGATCCTGAAAAACAATTGGGGCTCCATCACTTTTCAAAGTGAGAGCTCAATGCACACAGTTTTTGCTTCCAAAACGCAGTTCAAGAATTGTGTATGTGGAAAGAAAAACGCAAGGCTGAACCAGCCTTGAGGCCGGGTGTCCGACTTCAGCACACAGAAGCCCCTGCAAGAATGACACAGACCGTGGCTCTAAAGCACAAGTGAGCTGTGCCGAAGTTTTTGTCAATGCCCCAGTCTTTTCAACCGAAACTTTCATTTGCCATATTTAGCTGCAAAGTCCAGAAAAATCACATTTGGTCACACAGTTTGTCTCAGGGTCCCCAAAGGCCACAATTATACTTTCATGCGTTGCGAGGCAGTTCTTCAGCCCAAAAGCCATTGTGTCGATTGTGTTCGCAGGTTTTTGAAGCCGACAGAATGTAGAAGAATCCGACGAGACACTTTTGTGACACATCCCGTCAGTCCCCCCAGCATCGCCAAGCCAAACCATCCACTCGATTGTTGGAAGAACCCTTTGGTATTCACACCTACAGAAATCCCACTTTACGCAACCACAAAAGAGTTCTGTACGTAAAGCGTTTAGTTTATTTTTGTTGTGGTGGGAACGATTTTTTCGAGGGACAAAACAATATTTTTTTACTTCCATGTTTTGCAGATCCAAAGAGACTGCATGGATTGTGAAAGAAGAAGGCCCCCGGTGCCGACCAGAGGAGCACTTCCGTGTCAGCAGTGGAGCTGACTGCTTGGTGTGTTTGGTTCCAGGTCATGCAGACATTGACTTTGCGCAAGTGAACTCCTTTCAGCAAGAACTACAGGCAGTTTTGCCCGATGCACGTTTCCTCTTGAGCACAGCAGCACAGAGTGCCAAGCAGAGTGCCAAGCTGAACAGCACGGATCTCGATGCTGCGGCACTGTGCTTGGCCAATGAAGTGAATGAGGTCTTAGAGACGTGCCTGGATCTGAAACATCTCAGCTTTGTGGGGATTGGCACCGGTGGGCTCATCATCCGTGCAGCCATCTCTTGGCTGGCTGTTTTCGGCCGGGACTCTTTGATGACCTTGATGTCCATCGGTACGCCACATTTGGGTCTATGGCCTACTTGTTCATGGACTCACTCCTTGAAGTTGTGGGTGCTGAAGCAGTTCATGGGCAGCCCGCTATGGCTGGAGCAACTTCGGCACGGCGATGGGAGGCAGATGCGAACCGGCCGGCTTCGCCGGCTGTGCGAGACGGACGATGCCTTGAGATGTTTTCAGCGGGTCATTCTGGTTGGAGGTGCGCATGACGGCTTGGTTCCCATCTCTTCATCGCTGGTCATTTCGCCACATCCTGAAGTCGCAGACTTTCGGAGATTTTCAGAACCCGTGCCGGAGTTTTCCCGGAAAAACTTATTGATGTTTGCAATGCCATTTCTTTGGTTGGTGCGCTTGCGTGCTTGGCTCGTGTTGCTGGTGGTGGGGCTTAGTCTACTTCTTACAATCCTTTTCGCACCAGATTGGCCCACGTTGAGGCACCTGACCGAGCTGAAAGCCACGGCCGGAGGACTCTTCCACACCTTGTCCGGCCGCGCGGCACGGCGCGAGGCGGTGCAGCTGGAGCGGCACTTGGCCCAGCGCCTCTTGAAGCAACTGCCCAAGGACCACGTGTTGCGGGTGGAAATCGGTGAGGACTGGGGTGGAGGTGGTTGGTGGGGTCGGTTCAGAACTACGAGTAGCTTTGGAGCAGAACTCTTGTGTGATACGAGATCCATGCGCCTTTTGGCCGAAGGCTACGGGGCATACCTTGCAGGGCCATGAAGATGGTCAGGTAAGGAAGATGGCGTTTTCCGTTCAGTGGCTGCCAAAGCTTGCGGCCCACATTTGCGGCTTGATCGCTCAATGAAAAGAGAAAGTGTATGAAAGTTTGTTGGGTTGTTTGTTTGTTTTCAATTCCACTTTCCATGTGAGCAGCTTGCAGCATTTGGCTGTGGGTGCCCGCGCCTTGAGCTGAAGTTCGACTGGGTAGGCACCAGGCCTGGTCCCACTGCACATGGGGGTGTATTCAATCAGGGAGACCGCAAGACCTCTCAGTTTGACTCCCTGGAAGAAGGGAAATAGACCAGTCCACCCAGCCAGGGCCAGGCGGTCTCCCTATTAAAATACACACCCACATCATGCTGCACATCATGTTTCGGCACATTCTTCGCAACTAAATCTGTGGCAAGGTGCCATGATGAGCACTCCGAAGCAGAAGTTGCGCCCATCGCTGGGTGAGCTTCCGTCTCAGCTGACAATTGCTTGGGACAATTGGTTGTTTTTGTTTGTTTATAGGACACGTCGAAAGCAACCAACTGGTGAATTGGGTGAGTTGAATCTCCTGAACTGCAAACTATTGCTGCAAACTACTTGTTGCGTCTCAGTTTCGCCCCAAAATGTCTTAGACTCGAGTCGAGTCTCAGTGGGCCCCACCAGAGTGTCTGGTTGATTTTGGGGTGCCCACCAAGCCATCCTCCAAGAAAACCACATGTATAGTCCACACAATAGCTCCCGCAGCTGGCAGCTTGCAGCTTGTGGCCGCTTGAGGACTGGCGGAGCCCCCGTCCACGGACGTTCCTCGAAGCCCTAAGGCCCTCTCGAGTGAGCCGGCTCCGTGCCCAGTCACCGGGGCGACTGCGTGCCCAGTCTCCTGGAGCCTCCTCGGTGGGTTCGGGAGAAGAGGTCGGAACGTCACCACGCAGGCGATCCGGAAGCCCTTGACTTTAAAGCCATGTCTACTTCTTCCATGTTACTATGCTTGACAGACTTCAGGAATCAGACATATTCCATCATATTCCATTCATCATTTGCTTGGCGTCGTGTCCTGCTGTGGAGGCGTGCACTCTTCCAATCGACCGGCGGGGAGCACAGTACTTTTAAGGTTCCAATCCAGTGCATGTTTGCAAGAGATGGTGACCAGACATAGCGCCATAGCCTCATGGAATCTGATGAAGGGTTGACTCAAATGGAAGCTGGGAGGTTCTTCTTGTTCCAATACATTTGTTGCTTTTGGGCGGTGGTTTGGAATGTCAAGCATTTTGAGCTGCAAATGACTGGGCACGAGCTTTGACCAAGGAAGGGCCAGAGCTTTGACCACAGCGAGGTGCCGATTCGAAGACTCTGCTGTGTTTTTTCGGTTAAGTTTTGGGATAGGTCTTTGCTTTGTCACTAGCTGGAGGGTCTGCCAGATATTCCCTCCAGCATGCCACAGTTCGGATGCCTCTGACTCTGACCCTCACGAGGCACTCGCGTGATCCGCGTCCAGTGGGCGAACGTGCCTTCACTGCGCAGTGCGCCAAGAACGTGGTGGAGCTCTTGACGGTGGGAACCGTTTTGTTGAAAACTCTCTGGTAGAGTTGAAGGCACAGAAGGACCACCCCCTGGGCCCTTGGCCCCCACTGGGACCCCAGGCTCGCTATTTTGGGATCCATTTTTCCGCAGTCACATCAGCACCCGAATGCCACGGCAATCGGGGGGACAGCAATCTCCGGAACTTCCCACCTTCCCCCGTTTCGGCAGTCGTCCCAGTTTGGGCCTTTTGAAGAACTGAACCCCCCCAATGAGGGAGTTGTCCAAGGGGGTGCTTCGGAATCGAACAAAAGGGAAGCAACAACAAATACAAAAGAACCAGGACCTTCCCAGTGACCTCTTCAGGATTGGTCAGTGACCTGAAATCAAGGCCATTTCGTGACCGACCCGTCACTGGGATCTCAAGTTCGGTCACTGGGAAGGTCCTGGTTCTCGTTGACCTTGGCTTCAGAGAGTCATCAGTTGGAAGGCGAGAGGCTTTGCCAAGACCTTTTCGCACGACAAGTTGCTCAAGGACAGATTTCGCACGAACAGCTCAAGTTGCGCGGGTCTTGAGCTTTCCCAGTTTGGAGTCTGGAGCTCTTGGAGTCTATATAACTGCAAGTTCGCAGGACCCATCGACCAAAGAGTTCTATGACGTCTTTCGCTTCTTGATCTCACAGCTGGACTCTTTTTTTGCAGCTAGAAATTCAGAATACACGCAGTTGCTGCTTTCTGCAATTCTTCCTCTAGCATGTTAGTTTTTCTTGTTCTCCATTTTTGGAGTTGACACTCAGGATCCACAATTGGAAGTCGAAGGGAAGATGGAAGATGAGGTGCAAGCAGCAGTTTTCATGCGCAACAGCATCTGTGGTTTCTCTGTGGTTTCCTTTATATATGAGACAAATTGTCAAATAGCCCCACAACCTGGTTGAGCCCGGGTCAAAGGAAGAGGATGAGCTTTTCAAAGGGACGTCCGGTTTTCCATGGTGGCAGGTCTTCGCGCTTTCCCGACCGCGTGGCAGACCGCTCCAGGTTCCTGCGATCATGCGTCGACTGAAGTACCCCGTGGAGGTGAACCGATCGAAGCTGCAGGCGAAGCGTCGGTCGTGTCGTCGAGTCCGGATGGTGGGAGACTTGGGGTGCTCGGAGTCCGGTGCTGTTCTAAAAACACCTGTGGATCTGAATAGTACTGGCACTCCTAACTGGTTTTCGCTTGCACCTGCAGATGGGGCGGGGTGCTGGATGAACATACTCATGGGGTCGATTCTTGCAAGGGTGGGCCTGTTTGATCCGAGTCTTCAGCAAAACAGAACAGAAGTGATAGTAGATTGCCCTGTGATGCAGCTAAATGCTATAGAAATGGTGAGCATTATCAGCATCATGACACCGAACAGATCCTGCTTAAGCTTCAGAGAAGGTGTAACTCTGGTGCTATTTGAGATGGTTCTCGACGTTTTGGATCGTTTTTTTGGGACCCACCCGGGCAGTTCAACTTTTCTGCTCGGGTGCGCAGGCCGAGGGCTGCCTTCGATCGGGCCGTCGGCCATGTCGGTGAGCAGGGGGGGATTTCCTTCCGAGAATTCCGAAGCGCGGTGACGTGACTCATGGGATGTGCGAGGCCATCAGCGGTCCCAATACTTGGCCGTGGTGGTCCCAATGGAGAAGGGATGGCAAAGGGATGTTTAGTTGCTCTAGACTCGTTGAAGATGTTGAACGGATTTCCAGCTTTGCAAGAGGAGAACTCATTGTCCTGCAAAATCCTTTGAATCGCGTGGATTGGACTGAAGCACTCAGGAGATCTTTTGTGGGTGCATGTTGAAAAAGAGACACCGAAAAGACTAAAACAAGCGAGACTCCTGAGAAGGGAAACAAATTGATAGACTAAGACTAAGACTAAGACTCTTCCGAAGAGCGGGGTCTCCCTATTTCTGATACACACCACACCCAGATCTTTGGGTGTTTTCTTCCACTTGGTGGTCGCTCTCTCCAAGGCAGCTCTTGGCCGTGCTGGATTGGCTTACGGTCCTCGTGGGGTGGCTTGAGGTTCCCCTCGCTCCAGGTGTTCGCTCTGGTGAGGTCGAGAGGGTTTCACCCTGTGGCAGCGGTCTGCTTTGGGCCAAAAGGACCTCGACTTCTGGTGCAACCCTGGAAGCAAAAGAACCGATTGTGTCCCATCCAAGGTGAGAGAAGCAAGCTTGTTTTTTGGCCTGTGTGTGAGGGCTTGTCCCGAAAACGTGGTCTTCAAGAAACGATGAGATCCATCTCTTTCCTCATTCGTTGATGGCAAAAAGACCTCCAATCTGAACTGGTTCCTCCTTCAGCCAGTGTCATTCCACCGAGCCGCTCACTTGAAACCATCGTTCGTCCACACGAAGAAGCCGTTTCTCCCTCCGTTCTTGTGGCGCCCCAAAGAGCCGCTTCACGTGGCACGCGCCGTGCCGCCGCGCGCCGAACGAGGTCCGCATCAACGACGAGCTGGTGGAGCCCCTGGCGGCCTGTCAACTGGGCTTGTGCGTCCGGACCCTCGGGGACCGGACAACGACCCGGACGACCCTCGGCGACAGATGCGGTCTGAGGATGTGGGGGATCCTGATCGAGATGCAGGCGACTTGTGGCTTTGAAGATATATGATTGATCTTGATTGCCAAGTAGTCTATGAACCGATTAAACTATATCAGTATTCCTATATATGTATGACATCGCGCGAGTTGTTTTCCCAGTTTGATTCTCGAAAGAGCCAATTTTGATGCCGTTTTCTGTCTCTTTTGTTTTCTTTTTTGGTCGAAACGATCCTTGCAGGCGACCATCATGTTCTTCGCTCTCTTCACGAGAACTACCTGGGCTTCTTGAGCGGAAAGGACGATTGCGGTGATGAAGAAAGGCCGGCTCTGTCGTCTCCCCAGAGAATAGAGAGCAGTCTGCATTTCCCAGAAATGCCCAATCTGCTTTGCATCTGGCCAAACGGCTGGGGTTTTCCTTCCAATTCCTAATACGGCGCGTCTTCATGTTTGGGCCACGGGTTGCAGGTGGTTGTAGGGTGCACGTGGTTTCTTTTTCACCGGCATGTTGGTGCACAGGCCCTGACGATTTTGCCGAAGTGGACTGCTGGGGATCCTTAACTGGAAAACCTTGGTTGTTGTAACACTCACACCTCTTGCAGAGCAGTCCCGATTGGGAGTGTATGCTCCTCCGGCCGAATTTGAGCCGTGGAGGCTTCGCATGATCTACACCCAGCGGATTGATGCCTTGAAAGCTGAAATCCAACGCCTGGAGAACCAGCAAGACGACATGCAGAGGAGGCCTGGGCCCCGTCCGCTGCCGGATGCATCGGTTGGACGTGGACGAAAAGACGCCGGGGGTCCGGGGCAGTCCGGCCTGAGTGCTGAGGGCTTTTTGGGGGATTGGTGGAGGAGACTGTGTTCAAGAGGTTTGATGACTCAGAAATCGAAAAAAGCCGGAGTTGGTAGAGGCTTTGGGGATGCAGCTTTGGGGTCGATTTCTTGCGTGAACAGGGCCCAGGATACATCGATCGACCCAGGATACATTGAGCGTCCGATTCTGCCCACTGCGAGGCTCCAGGATTTCCACCACGAGCACGAGAGGCTGCTGGAACTGCAAAAGATGCCCGCGCAGCGGGAGCCCTCAGCGGACGGTGCCGGATGGACGGCCTCAGCCCACGGTGCATGGAATCCATCCATGGAACCGGGTGCAGAAGGTCACCCAGCCTACTCAGCAAACCCTGAACGCCGGCAGTTCCTCCGGAACGCCCTGCAGTTCCGGTCCCCATCTCTGCACGGAGACGTACGTCGAACGTCGTCTCGAAGCGGCGGCCGGAGCTTCCCGAGGTTGGAGATGGAAGCGGATCGCTTGCGTGCCACGCTTCAGGCCGAACCACCGGTCGTTGGGACGGCGAACCGGTCCCCTCCCGGCGAAACCGGGTGGGGGGGAGCCTCGAACAGGCGTTGGAGGCGGTCGAAATGCCCGTTGGATGTCGCAGGCCCAAGAGCACCAGGTGCAGACCATCGAGGATGAGATTGTGGTGAAAGAGGCGGGGGGAGACGTGGGTGTGGTGGGTGTGGTGGGCAGAGGTCATTTCGTTGGGTATTCACCGATGTTGGACCCGCGACCACTCCAAAAGAGACCGCTTGGGGCTTGAAGTCCATCCCTACATGATTCGAATTACTGCATGCCAATATGTTTGGTGAGCTTCAATAAATTTCAGAGATGGCATTTGGTAATATTTGCTACCAGAGGTCTCCTCACCCGCTCTGAGTCATCCCAGACGCCGCTTGACTGCACCGGGTTGGCGTCGGTTTTGTCGCTTCTTCCGTCGCCAGGCGGAGGCCCTCGAGCAGCAGCACGAGATCGAGGCTTTACAGGCAGAATGGGACTCGATCATGTCGGGTGGACGATAGATTGTAGACTCTTAGATGAAATTTCAACCCAGATGAAGAGGTTTTGTTCGAATCAAGAGTCTGAAGGGTTTTGTTCATCGTCTGAGTCGTCAGTCTACGTTCTTCTCATCTAGAGAATCTAGAGAGAGAGAGAGGATCAGGTCTCCACAGGTGAGCGGTTCGCTTTTCAACGGCCGTCATTCTCATCGTCTACAGTGTCATTCTTTCGCCTGTTTTGGCCGATGATCTGAAGCTGCCATGCCCAGTGGAGCCAACGAGAACGGGCCAGGCCAAACGAGCTGCTCTTGCGGAGCAGGTGGAAAGCCAGGCCAGGCTGAGTTTCTGCTGGGAACGTTGGACTTGGCTGTGAATGTTTTGGGTTGATCCGGAGGATTGGCATCGTGCCTGGAAGAGATCTTGGGATCTTGGCCATACCTTGGGGTCTTGCTTGTAAGAGTCTCTCCAATTTCTTTTTCTATGACGGCAAAAGTCTTAGTTCCCAACAGGGAACTGGTACAAGCTCAGCCTGTCTTGTAAGCTTCCCTTGCCCTGGGCAAATAGAGCCCCAAAAGCATGAATGTAGGTTAGAACTACAAGCACATGATCAAGAAAGGTATGTTGCAACATGTCATGTGCCACAAACTCTAGCCATTTTCCTGTTTGAACCAATGGAGAAACGTCTGAACTTCCTTCGTTCTGGTTGACGCGAGATGCGCCGTCGCACCAGAAGGACGCGCGGGGACCGCGCATCCCGACAGGCCTATTCCAAGCGAGACATCGATCGGTTGCATGCGGAGCGGGCGCATCTTCGACAGCTCTTCAAGGATTTGAAGGCGGCAGAGATGGGTCGGGCTGGGAAAACCGGCATTGGAGATGGGACCGGGGTTATGGAGAAGGGGAGGTGGCGGAGGTGAGGTGGAGAAGCTGAGAGGGGATGGGTCTGAGATGGACGAGTTGGTGAGTTCATGGGTCATCATGGCTCATGTCCGACAGCCTAAGTTGGTCACTTTTACACTTGACTTAAAGAGATCTATCAACATTAGTCAACATAGAAGTCGTGCAGCCTGGCCTGGCCCGGAAAAACGGAATGGCTACAGTAGAAAGTTAGGACAAGATGTGATTAGGACGTTGGCTCCCCAGGTTTTTCAGACACGTCGAACAGGGACCGCATGACTTCCCTGGCCGCCCCATGACTTCAACGGCTTTGACTGGGGTGGCCGGTGGCCTCACACCGTCACGCCGTGGCCCCGCGTCCCTTGAGGCCGAAGGTGAACGAGCTGATGAAGAAGTGTGGGAGCTGGGCATGCAAGAGCAGGGAGCCTTGGAGCGATATCTATACCGTGGAAGTCAAAGACAAAAGGAATGGTCTGACTAGGGGACCTGAAAGGGAACTTCCTTTACTTGAGCCGGTCAAACAATAGTCTTTGGATGTCTTTGGAATTCTAGAGGTATATACAGGTGTTTCCACGGCTGGGGAGGGCAAACGTTCGAGCTCCCTAAATGTGCGCCGAAGTTGGACCCCAGAAGTCGACGGAGGAGACAGATCTTTGGAGAGGGTAGACAGCAGATCAGGGTCTTTGAGATGTTTAAGTGATAATCATGACAGTGACAGTGATGTGTGATGTGATAATCATGACAGTGACAGTGATCAAACCTGACAGTGATGGTCCTGAGATGTGTGGAACCCCGTGGATCCTCAATCTGAAGCTGATCCGCCGCATCTCAGGCAAAGTCGAGCGGAGGAGATTGCCCGCTTGGTCCGACAGGCCGTCCGTTGGGCCGTGGGCGTTCAACGCACCGAAACACGGATGGACAGCTTCGACGCTGCGCCAAGTGCCGGATCTCTGGTTTTGCAAGGGAAAGATAGGGGAAGATCTGGATCAGATCAATTGCATGTCTTTTTCCAATCATGAAGACCCGTCAGACGACATGTTCTCTTCTCTCCAGACGCCCATACTCTCACGGCAAGGGCAGTTTCATTCCGTTAAACTCACACGGATGTGGCTCCAGAAAAGGAGCCGCCGGCAACCCACAGGTGTTAGACTATATACTGAATACTACTATATACTTGTATATTCCCTTTACCAGACCCTGTTTTTGAGCCATACCCACGCTCGCACCCTGGTTGCCTCGCAGTGTCAAATCCGTTGAAAAAGTCTTGCTCTTCCTGGTTCAGGTCAATGACGTGGCCGAATATTTGGATCATGAGCTGGGTGAGGAAGCAGCCTTTGACTTCAGAGTTCGTGGGGGGCTCTTAGGCTGTGATGGCAAGGAGAATGACGGTTGACTGAATTTTTTGGTTTGCTTTCGGCAGGCTGAACGTCGAGCTTGGGGTTTGTACAGTGTGTTAAGGTTGTGCTCTGTAGGCCTGCAGATCTTTTCACGGTGGTGTGGTGTCGAAGCGAGGTGGGACCTCGGGCCGGTCATGGCTTAGCTTGTTTCACCTCAGCAACTTGCCACTTTTCGGGCTCCTCCCTCGACTTTCCCTCCAGAATCATACCAGGCACCTCTGTCTTGGGGACGTTTCCGTCTTGGCACCGACCCTCCACGGGCGTCTTGGCATCGACCCGAGGCGTCGATGTGTCGGAGCCGACGGACGCCCTGGTGGCGTTGCAATTTGATGAGCAGAAGAGCCACGCGCAGGCTGTGGGTCCAGGTCTTTGAGTAGAGGTGAGGGGTGAGGGTCAGGGGGTGGTTGCGGTTTACATGGTTTTGGGGGGCATAGAGCTGGGGGGTTTGCTTTGAACAAGATAAGAGATTGAGAGGTTTGAGATGAGGGGTTTTGCAGGGTTTTCTGAGTGAACAATTTTGCTTATGTTTAAAAAGCATGACTACACGTGTGGGTTTGGGGGGATGTTTGGGGTGGGGAAGAAGGAGAAGACGGGACGATGATGGAAGAGGTGGGTCATGTGGTGATGTGTCGGTATGACAATCCCTCGGAACAGGCTCGACCAGTTTACTTGAAAGAGGAACTACATCAACAAGAGTTGTTTGCGATTCTGGTGACTCCGAATCTGACGTCGACTCCGTGATCGTCGGTTCCTTTTTGGGGTGCCGGATCTGTGTGCCGGATCCTTCTGCCATCGGCCTTGCTCTCTGCCATCGGCCCTCCGTCCATCGGCCTTTCGCCAGCGTCCTGCGCTCGCGCTCGTGCTCTCAGGTGCTCTCAGCTTCGCATAGCGAGCGACTGCAAAAGGAGGAGTTGGCTCTCCACGAAGTCCTCGAGGCCCTGCCGCACCTGCGCAAGCGCTCGGGCAGGTTGCCGGTGGCTCTCACCGGGGGTTGCCCTTCTTGGGAGGAAAGGGGTGGGGAAGGTTCAGTTCAGTTGCGGGAGGAGACGACCGTGAAGGGGGCAGCGATGCCATGCCAGAACCGGATTTTTGCGAAAAGGCCGATGCAGCCCGTCCAGTTGAAAGCGAACGTACGGTTGAGCGAACACGGCGAGTTCGCCGAGATTGGCCAGGAAAAGAGATTGCTCCAGGCCGAGTTCGCAGAGAAGGAGCTGCATCCAGAGATGGGTCGTACACGTACCTGTGGGGGCTTGGTGGAGCACTAGACGATGAATGACTTGGTTGCATGGGTACCTTAGCTGTTAAATCGATCGTGGTTTGGAATGCTATGGAGGATAGGTTAGGTGTCACACGTCTTGCCCAACGCATCTGCAAAGGCATCTTTGGCCCCAAAACGAGGATAGAGATCTCCAGAATGCCCAAAGTGGCACCGGACTGGGACGTCTTCTTCTGCTCCTTTTGTTCCGGACCGGTGGTTTCGCTCGGTGAAGTTTAGCGTCCCATCGATAGCGTCAGGACCGCGAGGGCCGGCATATGAAAGAGCGGCTTGAACAGCTGAATCGAATCTTCGAGGAGACCGACCGACACGCGAATCTTCGCGAATGCTTCAAGAGCTTCCAGCGGTAGCCAGCGGTTCGCTGACAGGAGTTGGGGGGAGGTTCTTTGTGAGGTTCTTTCACGCACACTTGGACTGTTCCTGAAGTCCAGGGGGGGTATATAGTGATCCAGTCCATGTCTGGGGAGTTTGAATCAAGAGTCTACGTGACTCCTTTGATTCAACATTCCCACGTGGCTTCTGAGATGCTTGCGCAGAGTCCTCACTTGGCTCCGCAACTCGGCTACTAAAAAGCCGCCGACCCCTTTTTGAAAAAAGTGGAGAGACCAAGACCAAGGCTCAAATATTTCGCTGCAGATCTTCCAAGCAGTCTGAGACTTTTTCTTTTTCGTCGAGTTCGATATTTCTTTTTGGCCACCAGGAGTATCGGGAGTGGAGTGCTGCGCAGATCGAAGATGCCCAGAAGACCACGGAAGCCACGGAGGACGCCGACGACCAAGCAGCAAGCGCCATGTTTTGGGCAGTTCCTTTCTCCTTGACCCACGACAATGGCACTTTTTTTGTGATGTATTTTTTCGCGCCTGTTGCGCCATTGTCGTGCACCAGGATGCAGTCCACGAGGCCTCGTGCGGAAGTCGTGCGGAAGTCTACGATCCATGCAGGGGATAGAAAAGAAGCTGAAAAAATATGTACAGAAACCATTTGAGCTAGGTCGAAACCCTATGCACTGAAAAAGAGGGCGAAGCAGCTTTATTGTTTGGTTTGGCAGGAGATTGCAGCGAAAAAACCTGAATGTCTTCTTCCATTTTGAATTCCCAATGCATTCACCCATGAAACAATCATGAGTTCAGTAACCCAAAGAGAAACATATGAAGGAACCGGGTGGCGGAAGCCTGTGGCCTTCCGAACCGGTGACGCTTCTTATGACCCGACTGGTTCCGATGACCCCACTCTTGGGAGGAGGCTTCAGAAGTTCTTTGGACTCCGAAGCTTCTGCATTCGGGTGTTCCCGAACCTGGGTTGTTTGTTGATGAAATGATCTTAATTAGGACTCCAAGGCTCCCCGAGGAACTCCGGAGGAGGCACCGGACCGTGTGGCGACCCCGTGTGGAGTCCTTGATCTGCCCGTTTGGAGCAGAACATCCACCCCAACTCCGGTCCTGGTGGTGCGGAACTTCTCGACGCCAGATCTCCATCGGCAGCGCGGCGCCTTCCCTGAGGGACGCAGCGGAGGCGCGACCGCGGGCGTTTCGCCCACGCGTGGCCTGGTGGGTCTTCTATTTTCTGGCTTGCTGCGGCGTGTAGTATCGTCCTTTTTGGGCAGACCTCTTGGGTTGGGGGCGTCTGCAAGGGTTGAAAAAGATCGATGAAGACAGTGTTGGAAGCGAACGAAGTCGACTTCGAGGTCTTTGCTTTGAGTGTTCGGGGTCCCTGCTCTGAGTGTGGAACTGCAGCACTACAGACACTGGGGGTGCAGGTGGATAAGCTGAAGCTTAGCTTGGCCTCCCTGCAAGAAGAATGCGCCCGCGAAAAGATGCAGATGGAGGACGCGTCTGCTGCGATGGGGGCAAGGGGAGGCGCCAACAAAAGGATCCGAAGGAGTCCGAGGATTGGAAAAAAGGCTTCAACCTGACAGATTGCTAAGAAGGGAGAGTGGGTGATTTGCACAACATATTCTTGGTCACTCAGTATTGCGCAGAGGCTAGTAACTACTCCAGACCAGCGTTTGCACATGCCTGAACATGGGGACTCTTGCACACTGTTCACATCTGTCAATATTGTTCTTCATTTCTTCATCCCATTCGAAGAATTTCTCGTCACCTTTGGGGTTAGTAGAACATTGGCCCCAAAATGGGATTCATTGACGGATCCGTGAAAATCCGATCGAGTTCGGAAGCGCTCCTGACCCGCCTGAGAACAGGGTGGATCGCAGGAGCAGATCCGCCGTGATGAAGAGCGCTTGGAAGAACATCGCCAGCTGGTCTTGTCCGGGGCCCCGCCATGGCTACCATGGCTTCGCATCGGATCCACGGGGTTTAGCACAGTTGTGCGAAGCAAATGAGGGCCTCGACTTGGGTTCTGTTGGATGCCGGTGTCCCCTCGTCTCACTACGGCCAAATGTGATGAGATGAGGATTCAGAATGGATCAAGTGGGGTCGAAGGGGGTAGGATCAAAGGGAGGGCGTGTTTCCAGCGAGGCGTGAGCTGGACAGCTATTCCAAGGCGCGTGGCCTCAGTCAGTCGTGAAGACTTCCTTGCATCAAAGAACTTGGCCGGCCAATCTATACCACTATATAACTATGTCGGGAAGAAACTGCACCAAAACAGAGAGAAGAAGCTCTTGAAGCTTCTTGGACCTCAGTTTCCTTCTAGAAACGTCCAACAGTCCAGTCCAGTTTCTGTCTGCACCTACTCCCCTTCCTAGTCTGGAATCTCTCCTCTCGAGGCCATGGGCTCGCTTTGTGAAGACGTGGAATCCGCCCTGGTGAAGGGGTCCCTGCTGGAGACGCCGACGCATCTTGTTGTTGTTGTTGTTGTTGCTGCTTCTTCCAGTTCTTGGAATGTTTTCGGCCTGTCTTTCGGATCTGACTGCACCTTTTCATCTTACATGCTGACAGCCATGTGGCTTGAACCTCGGCGTTCCGCGCATCTTCCACGCTTTTTCCTCGCTTCTTCGTCTCCCTTTCCATCGCTCCATGCCGCCGCTGCGCGATTGCGCCGCGCGGGCGGCCGCGCGCGCCGCGCGGGCGGCATTTCCGGGCCGGGCGCCCCAGCGGGGCTCGGCCCACCTGCAGGTCGCGCGGGTGGGGCGACGGACGGAGATCGTGCGGCTGTCGCACTGCGCGCCGGTGCGGCTTCTTCCGATGGCCACGGCGGCCGCCGAGTGGCTGGGACTTATAGAGAGCCTCGGAATTGGGGGGAGAGTTGAGGATTCATCAGGATCCATCAGTCAGGAGTGGCTTTTGACATCCAGTTTGGCAATTTCTCTGTGAAATCAGGGAACAGGGGTACTGAAAAATGACCAATTTTATAGTAAGGGGGAATCAAATGAGGTGAATGTGAAAGGGAATCTTTTGGCTCCTTTTTGATTTCTTCTATTCCTCTTCTCGGGATTTTTGGTCCATCGATTCCATCGCAGGCGAAGCGGAACGGCCTGGTGCGCCTTGGGAAGCTTCGGTGGTGGCTTCCTGGGTGGAGACGAGGTGCACGTGGCCATCGAGGTTGGGCCGGGCTCATCTTTGGCATTGACCACCCAGGCCGTGGCCTGGGATGTGGTGGACGTGGTAGGTCATGGAGTCATGGTGATACATGAACCTGTTTGCAATTCAACCAGGAGACTCAGGAGAGGTCCAACATCCCGACACTTGTGGGAGTTTCTCCATGGGAAAACCATCAAAAACACAACTCTGGAAGGGTGCAATGAAGCAATGTCATACTGAAGAAAGGAGCCACCGAGCCACCTGGGGGTCCGACACGGATTTCCGTCCGGCGTCTCACAGACCCCTGGCGAGCGATACGATACGAGGCCTCCACGAAGGTCTACCAAGCCAAGGAGGATGGCCAGGCGGCCGTGCAGCGCCTGGACGCGACGATCGCACCTGCCGGGCTCCTGGTCATGGCGCCGGATCCTCTGGTGCCGTTCGCCCACTCGAGCCGTGGAGAGACCGGGAAGGAACGAGGAACGCCGAAGCAGACGGTGGCGGTTCCCGGAAAAAAACGTTGGAGACATGCCGGGACATATGGGGTGAGACGTACCTGTGTTAGGAGGGGACTCTGAAGACTATTTGGAAGTGGATTCTTTTTTGGTTTGGACAAGACCAAGATTGAAGATGACTACTCTTCGTCAGCAGCTTCAAAGCTCGTGGGATGCAATGGCTTGACTCCATGTAGAAGCAGGGCTTAAGCAAAGGTTAAGGTTGGGATTCTTGATTGTTTTGGCTGGTGCCACGAATTGCAAGTCGCGATCATGCCTTTGTTTTCTATTTCTTTAGCAGATTGATAGAAGGCACTGAACAGATTGAGATCTAGTCTAGGTCTTATTCGGTCGCAGGGGCTGAGCAGAGGCAGCGATGTTTTGATGTTCAGACCGCCCAGGAGCTATTCTCAAGCACTGCGCTTCGCTTTGCACGCGAACTCCGATGGTGAATGCACCTCCTCAGCAGTGGTGGTCGATTGGCTCGGGTCCGGCCGCGTGGCCACAGGCGAACGCTGGGCCTTCCGAGAATACAAGTCTTGCCTGGAGTTTGCGTGGCTTCAGGCACCGGTGCCGACGAAAGAGAAGATCGCCTCTTTCAATTTTCAATTCCCCAGCTGGGTCGCTCCCCTGAGACCTAGCAAAGAAAAGACGAAACACCCAGCTATAGTCAAGACCATTCAAGACCTCCAAAATGCATACATACATAAACATACGGACCAGGTGGTTTGTCGCTTTTCGCCTTCCTTGTTCTTTCCTCTTCCGTCAAAAAGGAGGACCCCATGCCCGGTGAGCCGCCGGTGCCTGGTGCGCCTGCTGCGCCGGGCCTTATCGATTCCATCTTCCTGACGAGTGAAGATGCCTTGGCGAATTCGAGCCCGTCGATCGCGGGCTTCGATGCAGCAGTGAGCATCTTTGCTGCGACTTGACTGCGAGATGACTTGGAACCATCTCTAATGATGTTATTAAGCTGTTCAATATAGGGAAGCAGTGGTTGAAAAGATGAGGTGTTTTGAGGTGTTCTCGTCAGTGCCCACATATCTCATGTCAGTCTTGATGTTATCATCCTCAACCTGCAGCTACCTGCATGGTCTAGCAATCCTTCTTTCTTTGTAGCTCTTAGGTTGGCCCTCAAGCCGCTCCAGTCGCTGCTCGCCTGGAAGCCATGGCCTCCCTCTTGGCCGCGCGCAGCGGCGCGCGGGTCGCGGAGGCCGCTCGTGGGACCGAAGGGCGCTGTCCGGTGGAGCTGTCGGGACGTGCCCTCATGGGCCTGACGCCGTCCTCGGCGCCGGCGCGGAGCGGCTGTACGGTGGCGCGCTTGGTGGCGGAGAAGACGGAAGACGTCTATCGGATCTTGCATCATTGCCTGAGCCCCCTAGCTGAGGAGATTGGAGTCGAACCGTATGCGGACCGTGTGCATGGTCTGTCGATGACTCCCACGGAGAGGTCTCCTCTCCGCTCATTAGAATCGCCTCGACCATCGGGGCGGTCGCAAGCGATGGAAGCAATGGAAGCGCCAACGAAGCGGGTTGTGGCGGGTGTGGAGGGCACAAAGTTTGACCTCCAACAGTCCTTGATTCTCTGCCAACTGACAGATGCCACCTTGCCCGTGGGCGGATTTGCTCATTCCAATGGGATAGAGGCTGCCCACCAGCTGGGCCTCTTGCGCAGTGGTGACCTCGAGTCCTTGCGAAGCTTGGTCTTCCAAGGTGCGCTCTCGATGCTGCGTTTGCAGGGCTACTTCGTGAAAGAGGCCCATCAGCTGGGTGCTCAGAAGACCCTGGACGCGTGGCAGGACCGGACAGCAAGCAAGCGTCCGAAAGCAGCGAAGATGGGGTCTATGCTGGCGTAGTTTTGTTACTTTGTATGTTGACCACCTGGCTCTTTGGAGTTCCTTTGCCATCATCTACTTGTATCATTGTACCGGATTCTGGGATAACAGTGGTCAACTTGATTCTATTGGCCTCTTGGGATAACAGTGGTCAACTCCGACAATTTGCGAAAGAGTGGTGAGTGTTTTTTTTTAAAAGCTGCACTGCGCCCAATAGGAGTTGGACGTGAAGCTCAACGCCTACCTGGCAAGCAACGGAGTGGCCAGTCGCGCCTCCTGGTTGCAGGGAGCTGGCCTCCTCCGAGTGGGAAAGCAGTGGCAGCCGAGCGTGGCTTGGCCGCGGAAAGGGCACTACGCCACCTCCTTTGGCCTTCTGTCGCGCAGGCGCGGCTCAATCACGACGACAAGTAGCATTGACCGGCAAGGGCGACCTCTTGGACGAGAGGCGATGCCCCTCTAATTGACCGGCAAGACTAAGTTCAGGTCCCGGTAGTTCGAGAGTTCTCAGACAAGAACTAAGAACTGAAGCAGCTACATCTACCTCCGACCTTTTTCTCCAAACACAGCTGTTTCAACGGCGACACCACGATTTTTCCAGGCTGGACCTGGACTTGACACTGGGCCTTCATGCCTTCGCCTACGCGGCGGTGCGGGACAGCATGTCAGCCGCGGTGCGATTGAACCTGTTGGGGCCCTTGCAAGCCGTGGAGCTGTAGCTTGGGCCTTTTCGTGGAGGGGCCGACGAGAATTGGGCTGGGAGGGAGAGAGAGAGAGAGAGAGAACGATACTTTTTGTGTGGTATTGAAAAAGTAAAAAAGAACGTGACCTCAGTTCGACCCCCTGGAAGATGGAACATAGACTAAAACTTATGAAGATACACAGATACACAACTGTGTGCATGAAGGAGAGACAAGGAGAGATTTGGGGATGGTTGAAGGGTATTTTGCCTACAAACAGATCTAGAAACATTCGTGTGATGCGGATTTTTCAATGAGCCATTTGCCTTGTTGATTTGCAAGACGATGCGCCGTTGGTATCCTTTTGTATTTATATACTGTATTCCCTTTTTAAATAGACCATTTTATGTCAACCACGCTAACAACATGGGTCTGGAACCCCCCAGCCCTCCGGTGGCTCAGGCAAGCCTCCATTCTACAAGATTTGCCCATTGAGCTGGGCGAGGGCCAGACCTCACCTCATGGATCTCACGTTCTACCTGCAAGCTGCGCTCCGGTCTTGGAGTGTGTGCATTCGGGTCACGACCTACTGGAAGCCAGACTCTTCTTAACCTGAAGAGTGAGAGGGAATCCGAGAGTGAGATCCTGATCCATGGAATCCAGGGATTTTCCCAGATCCGACTTTTTGGCATCCAAAGATGATGAGTGAAGTGATGATTCGTACAGCTTGGAGGGTTGATGAGTGCGCTGTGCTTGACATGCTTGGAAACGGCAGAAAGATCGGCGCTTGACCTTCAACTTCATCCCAGGTCACAGGTCTCCGTGGTTTTCGACCACCGAGACAAGGGGTCCCAAGCAGTCCCAAGGGGTCCCGGGTGTAAAGGGTTTTGGTGAAAGAGTTGTTATATGTTGTTGTCGTTTTTACAGAGTCAAGCAACAATACAGTACCCTAGAAGTCCAGTTTGACTATATTTTGACCGACTGAAAGAAGAACGGACATGTCTTAAGAATGGTCATGTCTGAAATCGTCAGACCATTCTTTTTATAGTCTTTGACTCCCAGGGAGTATATAAGAACCAATTCAAGATCAACCACTTGGCGCCGACAACTCTTCCCACTTGGCGCCGTCCCGACTCGCAGGAGTGTCCCACTCCCCAGCGGGCGTTCCCGCGATCGCGCGGGGAGCGCCTGTGCGAGCCTGAGGGAGGTGCGTCTCAGTGGAGTCAAGGGCCGTAGACTCTGTAGATAAATAAACCAATTGAAATGAACAAGAATTCATTTTCGTACCAACGATTGTGTCCATTAGGTCTTCGACTAATTCTGTGCATGTCTCACAACGCCGACCAGATGCGGTCGGGCTTTCCGAGTGGTCTGCCCACTCGGATGACGCCAAGCTGTAATAACATGTACCGGTCATTTTGTCTTATGTCACAATCCATACATAGGAGTTCGCATCGGCGAAGCAGAGAAGCCCGGCCTAGATGATTACGTCGATGTTTGTCTCGTCAACCCAACATCTATGCGAATAGAAAAGAACTGCTTTTGTCTCTGAACGCCGATATCTTGTCAGTAGCTGAGACGTCGGCAACAGCAATGATTCAACGAGAATTTTACCAATCTATCGTGCATACTCAGTATCAGATTTTTTGGGGACAAGCTGTTGATGATAAGATTAAAAACTTCCGTTTTGAGAGATAATAAACCTTCCAGGAGGGGGGAGGCTCTGGGAACAGCCATTATGACACTTGTCCAGTCGAGGGCAGCCCGGATTTCTGATACAACCTTACTCGATCAATCATGTCGCTTTGTATCGTGCGTGTGTTCTTTTGGAACCATTGAGGTGTTGATGGTGTGTGCATACTTTTTCCCGGGTCGCACACTCGAAGCTCAAGCACGCAACGATATATTGCTCTCACACCTGTATGATTATGTGGCCAAAACTGGTATGCCTTTTATTCCCCAGATAGCGAAGCTATGGGGTTCTTACTTACTTCAAATTGCAATGAGTTGCCCGTGCGCGCTTTCGAGACAGGTTGCTGGTGCTGGGTGCCGGTGCTGGTGCTGGTGCTGTGAGCTGGCTGTGCACGTGGTGGGGACAGGTTGCCGGTGCTGGTGCTGGTGCCGGGCGCCGGTGGTGCTGGGTGCCAGGCGGGCGGTGGTGATGGGCGCCGGGCGCCGGTGCTGGTGCTGTGAGCTGGCTGTGCACGTGGTGGGGACAGGTTGCTGGTGGTGTGGGGTGCTGGTGCTGGTGCTGTGAGCTGGCTGTACGTGGTGGAGAAAGGTTGGTGGTGCTGGTGCCGGGTGCTGGTGCCGGCGCTGGGCGCCAGTGCTGGTGCTGGTGCTGGTGCTGTGAGCTGGCTGTGCACGTGTATTGACGCTCTTCAAGTTCTGTTTTGGCCCACAGCTATGTCAAGGGCTGTACTGTTTGCGCGCATACTTTTGTACGTATAATGTTTTATGCGCAACGTCAGGCTCTCAACCGACCATTGACCATTGTTTCAGCATGTTTCAGCGTGCTACACACACAATAGTCGTGCTGGATACTGCTTGGCCTTGGGCGAGTGAAGCCTACGGGCTTTGACGTTTGTGCGCATACTTTTGCGCGCATAAACTTACACGCGCAAGATCATACGGCCTCATCGTTCTACAGATCGTTGCTTCAATCATGCTACAAGGTCAATAGTGGCGCTGGATACTGCTTGGCCTTGGCCAATGACACTTACGGGCTTTGCTGTTTGCGCGCATACTTGTGTGTGCATCAACTTACACGCGCAAGATCATACGTTGTTATTCCCCCAATAGGGATAGCTATGGCGTTCTTGCTGCAAATAAGAATGAGCTGGCTGCGCGCGCTTTTGAAAGGGTGTCGGTGCCGGTGCTGTGAGCTGGCTGAGCGCGCGTTTAAGACGGGCGGCGGCGCTGGTCGGGTGCTGGCGCCGCTGCCGGTGTTGTCAGCTGGCAAAGCGCGCCGGCGCTGGTGTCAGCTGGTTGTGCGCGCTGTGGAGGTGCCGTAAGCTGGCTGTGCAGGCTGCGTACATTCTTGTTCCAGCCAGTCGCGTGTCAACAGGTCGTGGGATTCTGCCTAGCTATCTGGGTCTATGCTGGTGTAATCATTTCAGCTGATTTTAATCAGGACATACGAACACTCACATCATGGCTCGCTTTTGCGCACGTGGGTTGCGAGGAAGGGTTTGAATGTGCATTGGGAAGATTGGGGAAGACGCTCCCCCCCACGTGCCGCGGGGCCACGAGGTTTGACTCCTTCATTTTCCATCCTTCGCTAGTGGAGATCATTAGCGACATGTGGGTCGGACCAGAACATTTGTTTGCGGACCACTCACCGATCTACGTTCGCCCCCGTACTAAGGTTGTACCGGGTTCGTAAATGTCTCCGAAATAAGACAGATTTGTCGGGTTTGCAGTTCGATCCATGAATTCGGAATTCTCGGCTACGTAGCTACTTGTAGAAGTAATTCACACGATATAACCGTGTGGGATTGTGCACTTTTTTGGTACATATCTTCTGTTGTACATCGTACCCCCCGTAGGGGAAGGGCATTGAGGTGCGACACGGACATGTGCGCCAGGTGTGTGTTGGAGATGAATTTGTTGTTGAAATCATCGCGTATGAAGAGGAGAGGATTTTCCATTTCATACATGTCTACATGACGGGCCCCAATTTTCATCTGAAGATTTTCCCATTCTGATTGAACATGTAGAAACGTAAGGAGAAGACATCCATTCACACAAAGGTGATGCATGTGAACCGCAAATGTATAGGCCCGAGTTTACTCGAAAAGGTCCGCGTCCCACTTTTCATGGTAGCGGAGCGCTGGCCGTAAGCGCCGGCGCTCCCTACCCACGTACCTGCACTACGACCTCGAGGACATCGAGGAGCTCCACCACGACGACGAGAAGGAGATCCAGTGTGAGCAAGGAGGCTAGCTTTTGGATTCTGGAGCTGTTGCTTTTGGCCTGCCTTGCAGGAGGAGCAGGTGACAACTTCACCCAGGAAGTGCGCTACTACCAGGGTGGAAGTTTGGTGGCCAGAGGAGACAAGTGGAAGATCAGGTATATCCACACGGTCTTGGTGGAGGCTGAGGAGTACGTGGGAAGGTTGCGCTGGATAAGAGATCAGAGGAACATCCGAGCTTCCCTGATTGTGCAGAGGAGGAAAGAAGGAAAGAGGAAAGGGGAGACCCTGCAGCTGGTTGTGACTGTCCCGGCTTGCTGAAAGGTTGAGAGACCAGACGGATACCGAAGACATCTGTGAGCTGCTAGCCCATTGGGACTACATCAATCTGCTCTCCTACAGTGGCCTTGTCTTTGAGGAGAACGTGACTGAGTTCAAGGTGACGACAAAGGCCTATTTGGCCTATATCCCATACCTCAGGACAATGGCAGAAGAGAGCTCACGAATGATTTCACAGGCCCTGGAGCGCCTGACTGTGAACCAGACCACTACAACATGGTCAAGGCATGTAGGATGGAAGCTACTTTTGCATCATCTGCGTACGCATGCCCTGAGACCCTTTCGTACTCGGTCACGATGGACTCGTACTGCGGCAACTGCTCGGAGATGGTCTTTCCCTCAGCAAATTGCACACTGGGTCAGCAAAGCAAGTGACCGTGCCCGTGTGGCTGGTTGCATCTCCTTCAATAGGCGTTGCCAAGCCTCGAACCCGTTCTCGTCCTTCATATGGCGCAGCAGCTTGACGGGTCTTCCTATCAAATAGGAAGTCAAAACTCCATAAAGGCGTACCGCCATGGCCTTCGTTGCATCTGTCATGTCCTCGAAGGCGAAATCCCCTCCAAGGTCATCTGTGGTTCAATCCTGACGAAGGAGAACTTCCAGTCGCCCCACTGCTTGATCTCCTGATCTGTGAGGCTTGAAGAGGTCCGGAGTCTTGATGAGCTGTACCTCCACACCTTCGAGCTCACCTACAACTGTGGACCACAGACACCACAACCTATGAGCAAGTGAAGAACAAGGTGATGGAGTTGGAGGCTTTGTCAACAAGATGGGACTCTTCAAACAGCCTCAGCTTGCCTACAAGAGCAGGCATGGATGAAGCTACGCCTATGGAAGTGGACTACATCAGAGGAGACAAAGGAAAGAAAGGAGGAAAAGGCAAAACGAAAGACAGCAAAGGAAAGCCCAAAGGAAAGACAAAGGCAGAAGGAAAGGGCGCATGGAAGAGCAGGGAGAAGGGCAAGGGCCTATGGGAGAAAGGTGGCCATGGAAAGAAAGGAAAGAGTTCAGACAAAGGAGGAAAGGGGAAGACCGGAGCATGCCATGTATGTGGCAAGACCGGTCACTATGCAAAAGACTGCTGGTCCAAGCGCGCCAACGTGAATCAGATTGAGGAGCAAGCGACTGCCACCCTCCAGGTGGAGCCAGCTCTTCATCAGGACAGCCAGGGACAGCAGCAGTGAAGATGGTGAGGTTGGAGACCCCACCAGAGTCAAGAACGCTTGAGGTTTTTGACCTGACCACTCTTGGGGCTCAGATTCTGATGGAAACCACCCATGGCGGGTGGGCGTGATTCGAACTGAGGACGAGATCGAGGACTACATGGAGACAGAGGATGATGAGGAGATGTTCATGGACTGCATAGAACCGGCAGTACTAGTTCCAGATGGTACTGTCATTGTGGCCATGGACTTGCAAGACGAGGAGGAAGAGCTCTATGTGCAGATGGTGAGGCATGAGGAGACAGAGGTGAAGGAGCCATGCCTGATTACATTGGACAGTGGAGCAGATGTATCAGTTCTGCCACGTGCCTATGCTGATGTTGGGCATTGGAAGGCAGGTTCACAAGAGCTCAGGATGATTGATGCTCAAGGAAAGCGCATAGCACATGATGGGGTGACGAAAGCACGACTGCGAACGACTGACAGCCAGGGCAAGACCATTGAGATGGTGGAGGAGTTCATCCTTGGCAACGTGCAGCGCCCTATTCTTTGTGCAGGAAAGCTGTTGAGGAAAGGATGGAGCATCTGCAATACCCAGCATGGCCTGGGCCTGAGAAACGAAGAGAAAGATGTGTCAGTTCCAATTCGGAACGCAGTTCGTTGCAATTTGAAGCCAACATATTTGTGGTCATTGCCCCTGAGAACAACTTGAAGGAAGATGGTGTGACCAATCAAGATGCAAGAGTGATGATGCTGCGAGGGACGTTGAGCAAATATGTCGAGGAGTTGGAAATGGCACCGGGATGATCCAGTGGCGGTGGCAATGACTGACCCCAGGGGCCAGATCGAGGAGCGCTGAAAGGCGCGAACGATTCTGGTGAAGGATGCTGATGGAATGTGGAGCCAGGTGGAGAACACTGGCAACTACATGGACTTGGGGCCCACGGCATTCAGGAAGCTAGGAACAGGAGGACCCCTTCGTACATTGAGCTTCTTCGCACCCTCAGAGATGGAGGATTACTGGGAGCTGAATTCTGAAGTTCCCATCAGACCGTATCCAGAGGAGAAGATGAGAGAGCCACAAGGTTGACTGGATTGGTCAGAGGATGAGAGAGAAGATGAAGAAGAGTTGGAGATATGCAGTTGGAGGCCCAAGATATTGAGAAAATGGTGGTGGCTGACAGGCCAGACGAGATCGAGCTTGATGAGGTGACCTACACCGAGAAGATGTCGGTGAAGGAGCCGCAGATGGCCTGCAAAGAACATGGGCTGCCGTACACAGGGAGCAAGAGGAGGCTGCTCGACAAATTGTTGGCCTTTAAGATCAACATTGAGAACAAGCTGAAACTCTCCATCGCCAACAAGTTGTTTCAAGAGCAGCAGAGGAAGCCCATGACCCTAGGACAACCGAAGCTGCCATCATTGAAGGACCAAGAGGCACATTTCGTGACCCACATCCCATATGCGGCATGGTGCCAGGCTTGTGTTGCTAGCGCCAAGGAAGACAAGCGTGAGCGAGGACAGACGATTGGACGAGAAGCCGCCAGACAAGGTTGCAGAGAGGTCAGATCAGTTTGGGACATGCCTCAGAATGACCTCAGCTGAGACAGGGGTCTACAAGCCTGAAAACCGTTACTCGCTAGAGAATGCTTCAAGGGACCCCTGCGTGTTTCAGGGTGACTCAGAGAGGGCGATGCGACAGGTGCTCAGGACGGCCCAACAGGTCAGGACGGTGATGGGACTGCCGTGTGAGATCAGGTTGGCAGTGGACAGCATGAATCGAATGGCCAGGCAGAACGTGGAGTGCAGACAATTCGAAAGCTTGCAAATTGTCTTCGATCATTTGCTGAAACCAAAGCGTTCATCCAGATAGCCGGCAACTTCCACATGTTCCCACGGTCATTCCGCTATGCCTCCTTCCTGGTCAACAGGTTTCGAGTCCTGGACAAGATTGGCCGCGCAAGCTATGAACTGGCCACAGGACGCAACTACCGGGGAAAGCTTGCATTGTTTGGAGAGACAGTCATGTTCCGCAAGCTGACTCACTACAAGGGCAACAACACCTTTCACAGAGGCATATGGGTTGGAAAGAACCAGTGGAACGATGCCCATACGAGCGTTTCGAGTCACGAACGATTCGACAGGTTGGCCATGGAAGAGAGCTTTGTGGCAACAGACATGGTGATAGCCAAAGGACTTCCATGGAGCCACTCACCCCAGGGCATCATGATGAAGCATGGAGGTCAAGCTCAACGATACAGACAGCCGACCTTGGAGATGGAAGCCACAGAGGAAGAAATGAGGGCTGTCACTGAGGCAGTCGCAGCAGGAGTCGTCACTCCAGCACCTGGATCCAAGGCTCAACCCACTACTCCAGGTATGCCCAGCCACCTGCGCCGACCTCGACAACACCCAGGACAAAGAGGACAGGTGAGCATGAGGAGGAAGAAGGTCCAGAAACAAAGAAGGTGGATAAGGAGACATCACCCCGGCGAGCTCATGATAAACGTGAAATTGAAGGTGATGAGGAGGAGATCGAGAAGAAGCAGAAGACGGAAGAAGGTGAGACTGCAAGTCTACCATCGGGGATCGTGAGAGAAAGGGAAACAGATGGACATGAGGGACCAGCTACATCCTCACCAAGCAAGATCGCGAGGCTGTATCCACCTCAGTATGCTGGAGTGCAGTCCATTGAAGCCCATGGAGACGAAGAGATGGGAGATGAATGGATTCCTGCAGACCTCACCGAGGAGCTACTATACACTAGAGAGGAAGCAGACGAACCGCCCATCACCAGTGATGAACATTTGATGGTGATGGACAAGGAGGCAAGACAGAACGAGGTGAGCCGACTCAAGAAGATTCCAGTGATGGAGGAGGCAAGTGAAGATGATGTCAACAGTTCAGGAGGATACATTATCTCAACAAAGTTTGTGGTCTGCTGGAAGCACCGAGTGGAGCAAGGAGGATGGTTTAGAAGAGCCAGATTGGTGGCGCGACAGTTCAAAAACAGCGTGGACTTAGAACAAACGTTCGCGCTCACATCGATGCTTGTGGTACCAAAACTCCTCATCCACTTGATGCTGAATGTCTTCAAGGAGTTCACAGCAATGACCCTTGACATCAAGGATGCCTTCCTCATGGCTGAACAGCCAAAAGAAGAAAGAGCTTTCGTCGAGCTTGACGGCAAGATCTATCGGCTGATCAGATGCTTACCAGGCCAAAGAACAGCGGCTTCACAATGGTTCAATTTGTGTGCCGACACGGCAAAGGCCTTTGGACTCAGCCAGAACATCATGCAGCCCACACTGCTCATGAAACACCGGGAGATTTACATCACGGTGCACGTAGACGACGTGTTCATGGTGGGCAGAGAAGGAGCGCTGAGGGACTTCGTCAACTTCTTGCAGGAGAAGATGAAGTGGAATGTGGAAGCAAAGGGACCATTCCGCATGGGAGAAAGGTTCCACTACCTGAAGCGCGAGTTCAAGCTGCTGGAGGAACAGTGTGACATTAGGTGCGATTACAAGCAGTACGAGAGCATCTCAAAAGACGTTGATGTCTTCAAGAAGGCCTACAGAAAGACACCCCTGGAGCAGAACACCAAGAAGGATACAAGCGAAGAGCTCCAAGGTGCAGATATTATGAAGTTCAGGAGCGTGGTTGGAAGACTTATGTATATGGCTGGTGAGAGGCCTGATGCCCAGTTCGCAATCCAGAGTTTGGCACGGTACATGGCAAAGCCAACTCAACAAGCCTGGAAAACGGCATGGCGCGTGTGCTCATACCTCCAAGGCACAGAAGGCTTTGAAAGTCCGGCTCAGTGCAAGAGCAAAAGGACAATCCGTCATGGACACCCGAGAGATGGATGAGGTGGAGGACAAGCAGACGCACCTGCTGGAGATTGTGAGGGCAACAAGAACGACAGGAAGAGCGCCACGTCCTTTCGGGTGTTTTTGGATGGTAACCTGATGGAATCTCGAGTCCGAAGCCAAAAGAGCATCTCACTGTCATCCGGAGAATCTGAGTTTGTGGCGATGGTAGGTGGCTGCTCAGATGGATTGTTGGTCCGCCACCTATGGATGGAGATGACCAAGGACGAGCTTGAGATGAAGGTGAGATCTGATAGCTCTGCGGCGCGAGCCATGGTACAACGGCAGGGAATTGGCCGTGTGAGGCATTTAGATGCCGCCCTCCTTTGGATCCAACAGAAGAGAAGGAGAAAGAGAAGACCTTGGCGGCGAGCCCCATCCCAACAGAGCTCAACTGCGCAGACGTTGGAACGAAGTCATTGACGAGAAGAAGACTCTTCGGGCTACTCTACATGCTGAAGATGGTGAACAGCTCAGGAGACAGGATTGGGACAGAAGAGTTCCAGGAGCTGGAACACAGAGAGCAGATGAAGAAAGGCCTAAAGAAGGTCATGAAAGGAAAGAAGGACCTGCACATCGGGCTACTGATGATGATGGCCAACATGGAGGCTGCAGCAGGTTCAAGAACAAATGGAAAAGAAGATGAGCCAGAGAACGAGTGGGGCTGGTGGGCATTTTGCTTGCTGGCATTGATAGGGGCCTTGAGCTTGGCACAGTGGCTGCGGCAGGGCGTGATGCAAGATGCAATGAGGAAAGGATGGAACTTCACGACTGAGCTCATCAAGACGACGATTATGAAGATTGTGAACTACAAGAAGGATGGAAGAAGTGGAGTGAAAGAAAAGAGCACTCAAGCTACAGAGTGGCTGGAAGCTGAAGTGATCCAGATCTACAAGAAGAAAGCAGACGAGCTGCAAGCTGAGGTGAATCGATTGGAGAACTATGTGATTGAACTTGAAGAGCAATCAAAGGACCTCAGGCAGCAAAAGAACGACATTTTTAGGCAGTTTCAACTTACTGACCAGCATGGTCAAAGGATGATGCAAGAACGCCTAAGGTACAGAACAACAAAGGGCGGAAGCATCAGAATCCATTTCAATCCAGTCTGCCCGCATTTTGAGGCACTGGATCACACACCACTGTGCGCCAAATGTGTGAATGGAGGGAGCGTGATTGAACATGTAGAAAGGTAAGGAGAAGGCATCCATTCACACAAAGGTGACACATGTGAACCGCAAATGTATAGGCCCGAGTTTACTCGAAAAGGTCCGCATTCCGCTTTTCACATTCATGTTTGAGGGGGTGCTTTTCATGATCTGGCGATGGTCAGGTCCACCCTGCTCGAGCAATCGGACAAGGCCGAGCAATCGAGCTCGGAGAGCTCCGGTGTTGGGATGCATTGGGCGACCTTTGCCCATTGGGCGACACTGGATGGACGAACAGGGACCAAAGACGCATCAAGACCTAATATGGCTCATTCTCAAAGAGTATACCATGGCACAGAACAACACATAAGGACTCTTGACGTGTCGCTTTTGGTGCGCCAGGCATCGCCCGTGAAGGCGTAGTTCCCGCGCCAGGCGCTGGCGACTGGTGAAGCGACTCATGAAGTTCCTGACCAGAAGCGTTGTTTCGGCCACCAGGCGACGGGAGGTTGGTCGAGATATGAGTCTGACGATGTACAGTAGTTGTTTTTTGGCAAGCACTTAATTCAAACGCCCCCCCCGCGGGCCTGCGTTTGGTGTACTCGATTCTGATCCAGTGCTTGGTTGAAATTCGATGCAGAAAAGGGTCCCGCAGGGTTTTTCGCTATGTTGAGCGGATGGAGTGCAGCTTCCCAATGTCACGAGAGCGGATGGGTTAACTAGCAGCGCCCAACTTCACAGGTGCTTCCTGGTGACAACAGGTGCCCAGGTTCACCACCTGTTAGGGTCTCCAAACAGCCTGTTGGAGGGTCCTGGTCGCTGATAATGTTCTTTTTAGCACGGGGAGGGAGGTCAGAGGGAGGGACGGCGCCCGGCCTCGGCGTGTCCAGCAGAGAGTGCTCCCGGATCGGAGAACCCGAAGACCTGAAAACTGCCCACAAGTAAAGAGGGACGACCGTGAAGGTGCGCCGAAGCACAGGTGTTGGTCTCTCTTTTTTTTGAAAACACTGTAGCCGACTGGTCCAATCCTTGAGCCGACTGGAGGAGATTTCGAAATAGAGTTAGAATTCTTAGGCCAAAAAATCATCACAACCTCCATATACACTGCCGTGCGGCGCACTCTCTACCTCTTCAGGTCATGTCAAGTAGCACAGCTGAAGCTTACCCTCTGAAGGACACGTTCTTTGCCACGTGGCGAGGCACGAGGTGCGTGCAGACCACACAGACACAGTGGTCCGTGGCGTTGGCTTCGCGACGAAGCGACATGCGCCAAATCGCAATGGCAAGAAGGGCCCTATTGCCTATGATCCAATAGTAAGAACAAGGCCTGCAACTGAGCCATCATCATCCACTGCGGCCAGGTCATAGGATAGACCAAACCTATTATCATTTGCAATAGTAAGAACGGTTTTCTTTTTGCAGGTGCGATTGGATGGCTTGACGGATTGCTGGGTCTCTTACTTTGCATGAAGATAGACTCACCCAGTTTGGCAGTCGGCGAAGTCAATCAGCAATGTTTCCTTTTCCTGTTTTTTTGGCCTTTGGTTTTTATTCTTCAGGGCATGGTGATTGCATGCCGAAGTACTTTCACCTGAGGCGCTTGTTCACTATTTCCGTGCACAGACTTTGGCTAGTTTCGTTAAACCCCTGCTGGCCTCAAGTGAAAGATCAGGCAATTTGGGCATTCTCCCTTCTGCATCAGACATGGTGATGGCGGACAGTCATTTCCACAGACTTTCAAGTTGGCGATGCGCAATGCAGCCTTGAAGGGCTCATGTAAATTTCACAGCCTTCAGCCAAGAAGCGTTTTCGAATGAACTGTGTCGCGCAAACAACAAAAACCTGCAAAACATATTTCTGGTTCTTTGCAATTCAAGAGTTCAGAAGCTGGACATTTGAGAGGCCAAAACAAGCAACTGCACAGACTGACAGAGACACTGGTCCTGGTCACCAGATCGGACGTCCTCTCTGACTCCACCCACGGAACCCCCGTCACCAGATGGAAGGACTCTGAAACCGACCTTGTTCCCCAAACGGGACGGATGAGGAACAGTGGACTGACGGGACACTTTGGGGCGCAGTCATCAGGGGAGCTTTTTCGGGGTGCTTCTTTCTTCGTGGAACCGGCGCGGGTCGCCATGACCAAGAGCAGTGCCAGACTGAAACATGCAGGACGCCACCCCGCCGACTAAGCCGGAACGGCCTTCTGCCTGCTTCGCGCCACCGAGCTGCCGTTCGCGGTGGTTTGGGGGGGGGTTCCCCTCGGTCGGCGTGATCTTCCCACCAACCTTGGGCTGAAAAAAAGGACCTCTTCCACGACAATGGTGATTCGTGTAGGTGATGTGGTCTTTTTTCGTGACCACAGCTTGCTGCATGCGAAGCGGCTGCTTCATCTCTCCAGCTCACCGAAACCAATAGAGGTTGAGAGACCTTGTAGTACCCTGTCGTGGACATATGGGCTATAGATGGCTATAGGCTATAGGGCTGTTCAACCTCTCTTGGTTCTAGTGGAATCCTCACATTTACTCAACACGTGTGAGGCACCTGCGTCTCGCATGGGCGAAACACGAAAAAGGCAGATCAAAAGAGCTGGACTGGGGACGGTCCCTAAAAGCATGCCCGAACCCATGACTTTCGGCCCAATGAACAAATGGGCAAGCCCAATACAAATGAATAGTTGCCCTGGTTCACTGGAAACTAACAAGACCCAATCTTTGGGAGAGCAGGTGCACTCGAAAGAAGGCCGAAACAACACATTAACCATCATACAACATACGTGCATTCTTTTTTTTCTTTCTCTCTCTCTCTCTCTCAGACTCTCTCAGACTCTCCTTTTTTTCCGTGAACATTTCAAGCAAGTGGTCTGAAACTTAGTCAACATGCAAATCTTGATTGAGGGAAGAGAGTAGTAGGAAAAGGACTCGGACTGAATTCTATTTGGCCTCCACAATAACGGACGGGTTTTGGATGATAGGAGAAAGTTGAACGAAGGAGGGAGTTCAACCAATGGACCAAGGATGACACAAGGAACAGGAGAAGTGTGTGTGTGTGTTTCTTTTTATTCTTCTTAGTTTTAAGGACAAAGGGGTTGAATAAATGAGACATGTTGCAAAGGAGGACAGCCTTTTAAGAGGGTAGAGGCCCACAAAGAAGAACCTGGATCCTTTAAACCTTTTGAAGACTATAGCAACTTACAGATGTTTAAGATGAAGAATTCTGAAGAATGCATGTTTGCCGAGGGGCGCATTTTGTGCACTCCTGCACTGCACGCAACAATCATAGAAGATTTCGAGAAGGAAGACTTTGGAAGTGAGTATGTAAACAATACCGAGGATGAGAACCTTCAAACAAGCATGGGTCACATCAACTTGAGCTCCTACAAACCAAAGTTTACTCCACCTGTAAAGGAGGGTGTCCTTTTTCTGATTCTCGGATGCCTGCCCAGCATCAACCGCTGCCTGCCGAAGGACCTGCTGAAAAACCTGCGCCGGACAAAGTGGCACTCTCCCTCGCAGACAGGAGAGTTGGAACGATCTGCACGAGAGTTTGTGGGGGGAACGATAACTACGAATAACTACGCATACGAGAGCGTTTGGACTGTTCAATTTATAAAGTCAACTAAGTGACTAAGGAGTATTTGGGTGTGTATTTTAAATCCAGGAGACACCCCGTGGCCCGGGCTGTTTTTTTTTTTTTTTCCCCAAACAGTTTACTGTTGGGGGTTCTCAATGCTTTAAAGAATGGTCGCCTTGGTGCTGGATGGTCTGGTCGGGTTCCCGGCCGGCTTGTCTCCCACTTCCTTTCATTTGTCTCCCAGTTCTTTTCATTTGTCTCCCAGGCTGGGTGCTTGTGGTCGGGTTCCCGGCTGGCTTGTCTCCCACTTCCTTTCATTTGTCTCCCACTTCTTTTCAATTGTCTCCCAGTTCTTTTCACTTGTCTCCCAGGCTGGGTGCTTGTGGTCGGGTTCCCGGCTGGCTTGTCTCCCACTTCCTTTCATTTGTCTCCCAGTTCTTTTCATTTGTCTCCCAGGCCACTTCCTTTCATTTGTCTCCAACTTCTTTTCATTGTCTCCCAGGCTGGTGCTTGTGGTCGGGTTCCCGGCCGGCTTGTCTCCCACTTCCTTTCATTTGTCTCCCACTTCTTTTCATTTGTCTCCCAGGCTGGGTGGTCGGGTTCCCGGCCGGCTTGTCTCCCACTTCCTTTCATTTGTTTCCCACTTCTTTTCTGCTTGTGGTCGGGTTCCCGGCCGCGTTGTCTCCCACTTCCTCTTATTTGTCTCCCACTTCTTTTCATTTGTCTCCCAGGCTGGGTGCTTGTGGTCGGGTTCCCGGCCGGCTTGTCTCCCACTTGCTTTCATTTGTCTCCCGGTTCTTTTCATTTTTTGTCGGGTTCCCGGCCGGCTTGTCTCCCACTTCCTTGAATGTGTCTCCCACTTCTTTTCATTTGTCTCTCAGGCTGGGTGCTTGTGGTCCGGTTCCCGGCTGGCTTGTCTCCCACTTCCTTGCATTTCTCCCATTTCCTTTTATTTGTCTCCCGCTTCTTTTCATTTGTCTCCCAGGCTGGGTGCTTGTAGCCCGGTTTCCGGGCGGCTTGTCTCCCACTTCCTTGCATTTGTCTTCCACTTTTTCCCCAAACAGTTTACTGTTAGGGGTTCTCAATTCTTTCTTAAGACGTGTCCGCCCTTTGTGTCACTGCTGGTGTCCGCCCATTTCCACTGGCCATGTAACATTTCTATTCATCCGTCTCCCAGGTCTGTCACTGTTGGTGCCCGCCCTTTTCCGCTGGCCATGCAGCATTTCTATTCATGTGTCTCCCAGGTCTGTCACTGATGGTGTCCGCCCATTTCCGCTGGTCGCGTAGCATTTCTTTTCATTTGTCTCCCAGGTCTGTCACTGCTGGCGATGCAACATTTCTATTCATTTGTCTCCCAGGTCTGTCACTTGCGGTGTCCACCCTTTTCCGCTGGGGATGCAACATTTCTATTCATTTGTTTCCCAAGTCTGTCACTGCTAATGTCCGCCCTTTTCTGTTGGCCATGCAGCATTTCTGTTCATTTGTCTCCCAGGCCTATCACTGTCTATCACTGGTGGTGTCCGCCCTTTTCTGCTGGCCATGTAGCATTTCTATTCATTTGTCTGCTGTCACTGCTGGTGTCCGCCCCTTTCTCCTGGCCATGTAGCATTTCCATTCATTTGTCTCCCAGGTCTGTCACTGCTGGCGTCCGCCCCTTTCTGCTGGTCATGTAGCATTTCTATTCGTTTGTCTCCCAGCCTGCACTGCTTGGTCATGTAGCATTTCTGTTCATCCGCTCTTTGCCGCTGGCCATGTAGCATTTCTATTCTTTTGTCTCCCAGGTCTGTCGCTGGTGTGTCCTTGTCTATTGGCCA